GGCCTATAGAGATTATCTTGTTTCTTAAAACCATCAGTAATTGTCTTTCTGTTTTTTTGTTCCCTTTTTTATGGGCTCACTTGTAAACAACAATTACATTCAGATGCATATGTTCAAAAATAATCACTGGACGTTTTTGCAAACAAAACGGGAAAGTAAAAGAAAAACAGATAGTTTTGCAATTTTAAAGGAATATCTTTGTATTAACTTGAATAAGTATTTTTGTACAAAGAGACGAATATTCTAGTAAGAGAATGTCGTCGCAAAACTGAAAACCAATACAAATAAAGACAACTATGTGAAGTAATCTCGTGGGGTTCCCATTCTGATATAGCCTTCATGTATTTGAGTGTCTCATCCACTTGCTGCTTTGTCCGAAGTTGATTGGATTGATTAGTATTGTTTGAGTCTGACAATTGATACTAGAGGTTGGTTGTAAGGTGATCCAATGGGACATAGTCATACGCTTTAAATCCCTAACTTTTGCCTGGACCGCCCTTTCGGGTTTTCAGTCCACCGGGATACCCTTTTTTGCCCAAGTTACCTTTTCAGGTTTTCAGCTTGCCGGGTGTACATATTTTTTTGTATTTATCCCTAATTTTTGCCTAGGCCAATCAACCTAGCGGGTCTTTTTCATTCGTAGTATCTTTTAACTATGTCCGCGTTTACAGGATGCGGAAGGTCGTCGGCGTCCATAGTGGTTAAGATCATTGCCCCACCAGAAAATATGTTTTTAATCACAAATGGTCATTCGTATGTAGGAGTCCATTTTCCCCTTGGATCACCTTGTGGCAGAATAATACGCTTGATTACCAAGTCACCAACCTGATATACCTGACGTCTGACCTTCTTGTTAAAAGCTTTAATCATACATTTTTGGTACATCTGGTCATGGCAGACAGCAGTAAGCCTCTTCTCATCAATCAAGTTCAGTTGGTCAAGTCGAGTTTGAATCCATTCATCTTAACTCAACCCTACATCCCTCATGATTCTCAAAGAAGGTATTTGAACTTCAATTGGTATGACAGCTTTCATGCCGTATACCAAAGAGAAAGAAGTTTCCCCTGTTGATGTGTGCGCCGTGGTACGGTAACCGTGGAGAGAAAATGGTAACATCTCATGCCAGTCCTTATAGGTCATTGTCATCTTTTGTATGATCTTCTTGATGTTTTTATTAGCGGCTTCTACAACGCCATTCATCTTCAGACGGTAAGGAGAAGAGTTATGATGCTGAATCTTGAATTACGCGCATAGTCTAGTGATCATAGTATTGTTGAGATTGGTACCATTATCTGTAATGATTCTCTCTGGAATACCATACCGACATATAAGATTATGTTTGATGAATCGACCCACTTCGCGAAGTAATCAATGGAAACCAAGATGAAGAGATGTCCATTAGAAGTTGTAGGCTTGATCTCTCCAATCATGTCAATGCCCCACATTACGAATGGCCAAGGAGTAGTTAGGATGTTTAGAGGAACTTGAGGCACATGTACTTTATCAGCATAGATCTGGCACTTGTGACAAGTCTGTGAATGCTGATAACAGTCTGCTTCCATGGTGGACCAATAGTATCCTTCCCGTAGGATCTTTTTAGCCATCATGTGCCCACTAGAATGGGTTCCAAAGGTATCTTCATGTAAATCAGCCATGATCTTATCTGTCTCACTCTTGTCTACGCACCGAAGTAAAGTAGAGTCGTGGTTGCGCTTATAGAGGATTCTGTTACTGAGGAAGAATTTAGCAGAAAACCTTCTCAGGAACTTCTTATCATTGACTGAAGCTCCCTCCGGATATTTCTCAGCAACTCAAATGTCCCCGTGAATGGTGGAGACGTGTCCCCTCCTTGTGTAGAATTTCATATTTAGATGGACAGTGGAGGGTACGACGGTCAATTCGGCCAGTGTTGGTCTCCCTAGGATGCAGTTATAGAGAGACAGGCAGTCGATGACCAAAAATCGTATCTTGATCTACCGGGAGGCGATTTCTTCCCCGAAGGTTCCGAAAAGATCAACGTATCCCCAAGGTTTGGAGTTAGATCCATTGAATCCTTGCAGGTTGGACCCCACATATGGTGAAAGGTGGGTGTCGTCCAGCTGCAAGGTTCCGAACAGATGGTTGTACATGACGTCGATGGAACTTCCCTCGTCGACCAAGATACGGTGAACGTCAAAATTAGCCATTCTTGCCTTTACCATCCGAGGGATGCTCGAGTTAGGGGCCCCTCCGGGAAACTCCTCAAGGTAGAAGGTGATTGGCTCTGATTTTCCCTTGACCCTCTCGAGTGTCACCTCTTGAGTCGGGGCTGCGTCGACCAACTCGTCGACCTACCTTTTCAGAGAGTTTATGGAAAGGTCGTTGAATCCTGTGCAGATTATAACCATGGAGGAGGGAAATTTCTCCCACCTGTTGTGTGTGGATAGAGGTTCTTCCTCGTATCTGTCGGGGACGTAGAAGTCCTCGGGCCTTGTTACGGAGAAAGTGATCTGGATGAGGGCCGACTCATTTGATGGTCGGGTTTCTTCTTCGGCCTCTTTTGCCTCGCGGACATCCCGACGAGGGGCATCATTGCATCAGTATTGCCCGAGTCTTCCACCCTTGATGAGGGTTTTGATGGTGTCCTTGAGGTGGACGCAGTCTTCAGTCAGGTGCCTGTGACTCCGATGGTACTGACAGTATTTGCTTTTGTAAGCTCTGGGCTTCATAGAAGCAGATAAAGGGCGTATAACGCCGTCGTCCTTGAAGTCAGTACTGGAGCACTCCGCCGGGATGCGCTCGCACGAAGAGGTCAGCGGAGTGTATTCAGCGAATCGCCATGTGGGTCCCCTATGCTCGTGGGGATCACGCGGTTTATTATCCCTTGTTTTCTCTCTCATTCGTCGAGGAGGGCCCGTGTCCTAGTGTCGCAGGGCGTTGGTCGGTCCGTGATTCCTCGGGTTGCGAGCTTTGTTGGCCGTTTCCCTTTCCTTTTAGTCCATATATGCCCTAGCTTTTTCGAGGAGAGCATCGAAAGTTCGTGGTGGTTCGATGCCGAGGACCTTCCTAAACTCAGTGCTCGAGAGGAGGCCTCTCTCGAGCAAATATCTCTTCATGTGATTGGTGCACGGGACCTGAATGGCCTCGCGGTTGAACTGATTGATACATTCCCTGAGAGTCTCATCGCTTCTTCAGACGATAGCCTCAAGGGCGGCCTCAGTCTTCAGGTGTAGACAAAACATTGTAAAGGAGTTGATGAACTGGTTCTTGAGGTTTCTCCAGGAGGTGATCGATCCTGGGACGAGATTCTTATACCAGTCCATTGCAGTTTTCCTCAAGGTCGTGGGGAACAACCGACATTTGATCGGTCCCCTGACATTGTGATAGTGGAGTATTTCCTCGAACCCGTCGATGTGGTCGGCAGGGTCAGCAATGCCGTCATATTCCTTCAGTTGGGGAGGTTTCTCCATTCCCCTGGGAATTGGTGCCTCCATGATTGCTTGTGATAAGGGATCGCGGGGGTCGTCTTCGCTGCTCTTATAGGGGGTGGGAAGGGGACAAGTTGTAATGGCGGTCGTAGTGTTGGCCTTGGCCTCGGGGAGGGTCCCTTGACCGAGGTTATGTTTCTCCGTTTCCCCTGTTTCAGTTTTCAGGGGATCATCATTCCCCACACAGAGGGGTGAGGCCGCGTCTCCTGGTACCTTCGGGCAGCGTTCTCTCCAATTCGGGGTGTCGCCCAATCCGTCGGGGAGAGCGGCTTCGTGATCTGTCTCGTCTATATCTCCGCATGAGAGACTGAGGACGGTCTTCGTTCTGACGAGGAGGTGGAGTGTCAGGCCTTCTGTGTCTTCTGGGGGCTCGGCGAGAATCCTCGAGCACCCTTAGTTGTTCACCTTGCGAGAAGATTAAGTAATTTATTTGGTTAATGGTCGCAAACAGAGCCCTGGTCGTGGCGTCAACGCCCGCGGGGACAGGGACCTCCTGAAAAACGTTTGGTTCATAGTTTTGGAGCGGATGGGCAACCCCGTGTGGCCGAGAGCGGGATGATGAAGAGGCGGTCATGCCGTCTCTGTAATTCTGCACGAGACCGATCATGTCGATGTCGTTCTCGTTGTTGTTGTTGCCCATGTTGTCGACGACGTTGTTGTTGGGGCCGACGAGATGGGCGTTTAGGTTATTGTTGGCAGTTGGGTCGGCCATGACAATCACGGAGTTTGATGGTTGCTTTTGTCTTAGATAAATGAAAGACGGGGAAGCTTGATCCCACAGACGGCGTCACTGATCGTACATTGATCAGAATGGATTGTCAAAGCCTACGAGCTATGAGTTGAGCAGCAACTGAAGATGAGATGAGGAGTATCTGCAAAACACTTCGATGCTAAAGTAAGATTCAGGGAGAGTGCTAGCAAATATGAGAGTATGTGAGTTAAAGAATCAATACCTGACCCTCTCAAGAGTGAGGGTATTTATAGCCCCCAACGTTGGGCCAAGGTCTCCAATGTTGGACCACGATGAGGTCTAACAATGAAGACTGTCAGGACTTACGCGTGTATGGAGTCCAGCACGTGGACTTCCCCCTGGTAAACTGCTTCAAGAGAACAGGTGATAGACCCATGATTCCCAAAGGACAGTTATGATGACGATGACACAGACACATGGGGTGATACATGGGAAGTTGCCCAACGATCTCCAACTTGGACTGCTTGTCTTTGGACCTTATGCAAAGGTGTTGAATTGGACCTCCCCAATAGTGGGACAAGCGTTGATCCAGTCCAGATCAAAAGGTAATGAGGTTTTTTTTTTTTTTTGGTTTTACAAATAAAAATGTTTCCTTTACATTGTGGTAATCAAGTGAGTGTGAGACACTTGCTGTTAGGGGATATTAACCTAATACAAATATTTATAGAGCAAAGAACCATAAATTTAACGAACAATCTTAACTAAAATTCAAAACATCCACTATTTAAATCATTAATAATAATATATTTCAACATCATGTATCACGCCAAAACAATGTATGATTAAGAATGTTCATTAACAATATTTTTCGAAAGAATACGAAGGAAACGAGTGAGGTTCTTCTTAGCCTTAATCTCTAATATCTTGATTTTTTCCTCCTCTTCTTCATTAGTAGCCTTCATTTCTTGAGCAGAGTGCACTTTACGTACGAGCTTTCTCAACTCCTGCAAAAGATCAGAACATTGTGAAAATATTAGATGTATGTTTCACCGGTAACTGATGTTCTGAAAGCATTAGAAGGCACATATCTGCAGCAACTTGATCACGCGTAGTGCAAAAAATTACCTGACGGTCAAACTCAACACCTTGAACAGAATAAACTTCATTGGTGATTTGAATGTTCTTGCTGATCAAACCATCAAACCACCTTATTACTTGACTATCATCATATAATCTATATTCCTGATAAATTGCTCAAAATATAAGAATACGTCATTAAGACACAATACATTGTAACTAAGCTATCAGAGAAAGCAACAAAAAAAAAAACTACCCAAATTATACCCCCAGCTATAAAGATGACATAAGGTTATAGGGTTTAGATTTTGGATTGTAAGAAATTTAGACATGAACTCATACCTCATCCTCCTCCTCTTCTTCAGTTTCTATCAAGTTCTCATCATCATCTTCAGGATCATAGGACCCCAAGCCTGTTAAAGCTTGCAGCTCCTTGTGATCAGAATCCTTTGTTGCTTTTATTAATCGGTCCATTAATTCCGGTTCCACGTCCCGTAGCAATTTTCCTGAGATAACAGTTTATGTATGAAAAACATGAATCTGCGGACTGAACTGCAGAATGGACATAATAATACCATAGTAGCATATGTTGAATGATTATTGTTGAGATATTGATATTTATGGTAGCATGATTTGTCAGTATCCTTTGGGATTACGATAGGATTACATTCCTATTAGTTTATATCTTCTCATGCATATATATAGTTGTTGAAACCTTTTTCATATCAATAAGAAAATATTCAAATACAAGTTGGTGTCTAGAGCATTGTTCGAAAACCTAGTTTTCTCTTTGGGTTCAGTCGCCGTAAAGGCCAGCCCTAGTTAAGTTGTGGTGTATTCAAGGGACACTTCTGTCACTGCTGCTGCTGCCATCATTGTCTCATTTGCGGCTGCTTCCCGCTGCTCTCGTCGTCATTGCCTCCGCTGCGGCTGCAGCCGTCATTTACACAAGATACTTTTTTGCTTCTGTTTGGACCAAAGCCGACTGGAGACTTTCCCATTTTGTTTGCATATGATTTATTTATTTCATTGTTTGATGGCTGGTCAACAAGTTTCATCTCCGGCCACCTTGTCTCTTTCAGGTAATTTTACTGTTTTCCTATCTCCCTCACTCAGTGGGATCATGGATTATGGATTTTAGATTTTGGTGTTTCAGATATGTAGTTGGTAATCCCTCTCTTATATCTAACTTGTCGTTGTCGTCTCCTAAAATACCTCACAATATTACACTTGCTAATCAGAGAAGTCAATAGCGGTCTGGAGCGCCGCTATCACGGCGGGTGGGGCGAAGCGGAGACTGTCCGCGATGGGAAGGCTTGTGGCGGCGTGGAATAGGCTTCTCATGGTTTCATACATTAGTCCAATTGCTCACACACACCACAACAAAATGATGTTGCTAAAAGGAACATTGTCATTTGGTTGATACAAACTTTATTGATGAATGTCCATCTTCAGTATTGGGTAATACGATTCCACACTCATCTTGTTTCTTAAGGACCCCTTGTACGTTGTCTCTCTCCGCGAGTTCCACCGACATGCCTTATAACTCTTGTTTCCTGAGATCTATCAAATGTGTGTTTTTGGGCTATTCTAGAGCCCAAAAGACGTAACGGTGTTACCCTCCACCTACACATAGTTTTGATGTTTCTACAAATGTTACTTTCTTTGAGGATACACTATTCTTTGCTTCACCCACTATATCTAGTTCTACAAAAGATGTTACTACTTCCCAGGTGATACCTATTCCTTTATTTGAGCCATATATGTTTATTTATAATTCTCCACAGTCACACAGGATAAACACGAGTTCCACCGATATGGTATTACTTATGAGCGTCGGCCGTTGAAAATCCCAAAAACATTCTCGTTGGTTCCCAGTGATTCAGCTCCAAAGAATGCTGCTATTGATTCAACTCCAAAGACTGTTGCTACTAATTTTAGTGATTCACCTATTGTTCCGATCTCTTCTCTTACTATGGTCCCACCCGAGCCTTTACCTATTGCTCTTGTAAAGGTAAAAGATTTGCTTCTAATCATAACCCTATTTACAACTTTGTAACCATCGATTGTCTCCTTCCTACTTTGCTTTTGTTTCCGCTCTTTCATCTGTTTCTATTCCTAACTCCTAAGACAGTTCATGAAGCATTATCTCATTTAGGATGAAAACAAAGCATACTTAGTTTACTATTTGCTTAAGTATACATACCAACTCACGAATGATTAATGCCAAAAGAAATGGTAACCATAATTACATGAATGAATGTTCATAGAATTGTTGTCAATACAGGTCATAGAAAATAGTGATTTGTTCAAATTCAACTTCGGTATAATGGCATACGTCTCTAAAGATGACAACACTCTATATTAAACAGAGTGCGTGGAACAATAACAGTTTGTTTACAATCAGCTAACCTAGTGTCGCTAATATAGCTGTTATTTGACAACATTGATTAAAAGTGGATCTTGGACATGAACTAATCCTCATATATGCATGTTGTGTAGTCAACCCAAAAAGTCCTAAAAGAACAGGACATAACATAGTTTCCAAAGTAATTGGTGATTTAATTACCTATATAACTGAACTGGCGCCGCCTTCCTTCGCGAATATCTGGCCCCATTCTCTGCGGCAAAACAACAAACACCTTCTCTTGAATAAACTTAAACCAGTAAAAAAACCTTTATCCATAGAATGACAAACAGAACTATCACAATTTACCATGACAACACTAGTAATTAAGACGGAGAAGAAAAGGAAATAACCTTAACCAACGCAATAGCTTCAAAAACAATATGGTCCAACAAAACCACCCTGCAAAAAGCCAAAAACAAAATTCATCAAAGATTGAAACTTTAGGAAGTGGGGATTGAGAAATGAAGAAAAGGGAAGGAACCTGAGGATGCGTTTGATTTGGGGAGAAGAGAAGGAAGCTAAAGCCATTCCCCATTTGACAGCACGTCTAGCTTCACGCTTCAATTGGTTGCGGCTCTTAATGGAAGAATCTTCTTGTTGTTCTTGTTCAGGAGCTTTATCTTTGAGTTGGGTAGTAGTGGGTGGTGGAACATGGCCTCTTCTGAGGCTTCCGCGGGATACAGTGACTGTGAAACAACGAGGTTTTGTGGGTTGTGGTGATGAGGATGGTGTTTGAAGAAGATGATGAGTTTGGTGGTGTAATAGTGGAATTTTGGAAGAAGAACAAAAGCGCGAGAAGCATGGCGAGTGTCTTAGAGAGCGTAATACTAGTTGTTGGCTCATGTGTGAGGGAATGAAGGAAACTCAAATGCTATGCTCTCTGTCTTTTCTTTTCGGTTTATCTCACTATCTATGTACATTTTATTTTACCCCCCTCTTTACTTTTTTGTTTTAGTGAAATCGAAATTAAGTTTTTCCCAAGAGCCAGGGATAACATACTACTGTATTTATCCTTAACACAATTTTAAATATGTTTTTGAAAACTCAATATCCAATTCTAAGACTAATTAACACAATTTTAAATATGTTTTTGAAATCTCAATATCCTATTCTAAGAGTGACTAATTTGATTATCAATTTCATTCATTATTTGTCGCAGTCCGATTCTGACTCAACACATTAATTTTTGATGATTTTTATAAATATTTTTAACTTTATTTTTAAATGTTTTAAAAAATATCAACAAATTTTAGCACTTAAATGCTTCAATTAATGAGATCAGAGATGTGTAATTTTGTTAGTGAATAAAATTGTGCTTGTTATGATGCGTAGACGAGTTTATATATGGTGAACGATTAAAACCTCTTCCGATATGGGGAATGTGGAATGTGGGAGAGACTCTTGGATCGGTCTTGAGCGAGAATTTTCTAAGTTGGGCCTCTAGCGTTGGACAGTTTGGTCAAACCTATATAGTTGCTCTCCTAAGTCCTTGTTAATATGTATAGAGTTAAGATTCTGACAAAAGCATTAAGACTAACTTCAAAATCGTTCTCCTTCGACACCTCAAAGTACTTAGGCAGGTCCTCATCTTAGAGACGGGGTCGCAGACGTGTTAAGTGAGAACAAGTGACCTCGGGAACACGCGCATTAAATGTTTGTTTTGTAGCTAAAACATTTCTCAATGTAACTTTTCTACGTGGCCCCATGTTCTTAGGGTAAGGAGGTGGTAATGTCATTATAACACTTGGGTACACTTAATTGTCGTTATGGTATATAAGCTAATCTTGAGTCATTGATCACGCCCTATGGTATTCAGTTAAATCTTAGTTGTAGATATTCACTTCCTAGTTACTTATAAAAAGGGGTGGGGCGTAATATGTTGCTTTTTTTGCCCTTTTGCAACAAATCTTCATATTTCCATTTCTCTTTATAATATATGTTCAGCAAGTGATCTTTTGTCATTTCTTTCGACATTTACTCTCGCTTGTGCAATATTTTTAGGTTTTTGACAATTTTGTCTTTGTTCCTTTGACCCAAACTCCACATTTTTCTCAAAGTAACACATTTTTTCTCTATCATTTCAATTGTTTCAATTTATTTATAGTCATGACCAACATATGAAAAAATATTACTTTCATATACTTGTCTAGTGAGGTTGACATAAGCGACACTTCTTCGTGAACTGGAATGGTAAACACAAAAATATTGGAAAGTGCCTCCTTTAGCGGCGAGGAATCTTTTTATAATATAGATTATTGATAGTTATGACGTTGTAGGGAATTTTAGAGTGGATATTGAAAAGTTGAAGGGTCTCTAAAATGTGAAGGACATTGAAATGAATATAGAGAAAGAGTAAGGATCTAACACATTTAGGATTGACATATGAGAAGTTGGTTGTGGATTTTCTTTCCCCAAAATATCCATTACAAGCTTTGAGACAATAATATAGTAGTGAAATGAATCGAAGGTCAGTGTATATATTAAGGCCTTTAAGTGTCAATATGACCAGGATCTAGTGATGATGGGGTTAGATGATGGATTGAGTCTCAATCATGATATAGAACTCATAGTCGTAATTTTTTGCTTGTTGACAGTGCTGAGGAAATGATACATAGGGGACAACGGGATCCCAAGCTTTCTGTTGACGCATATCAATACCTATATATGAAAGGAGATGTCTTAGGTATGATGTCTATTTGCATTGAGACACGTTGGATGGAGAATGTCTGTCGAGATATAGGCGTGTCTTTTAATTGAATGGTCTCTCATGTAGAGTTCAAAAAAAGGTTATGCTGCCACTTTGATAGATGTATGTTTTCCTCTGTGAGTGCTTATTTTCCATATTGGGATTTAGGATTCCATCAAACTAGTTCAGAGTTGTGATTATAAATAACTTGTAAATCTCCCTCTCACAACTGTATTGTGTGAGTTGGACTTACGTGTTAATGATAATAGTGAAGATGAGAATGTAACTAACATAGACGAGAATGTAACTAAGATAGAGAGTAGAATCAAAATAAAAAATAACTAACTCTAAGTTAGTTATCATATGGTTACTAATTAGTTACTCATTAATTACTACATAAGCAAGCTCATGTTCATGTAACAAATTAAGATTTGAGCAATAACAATACTCTTCATCACTTTCCTTTAATTGATTTCGATTCATCTTTATGCTTTATCTTGAATCTTCACATGGTATCATCGACATGTGATCAAAATCATCAATCACCGCTATGATCAAGCTCACCAATCTCCTTCTTTTTCTCCATCTGTCTCCTTTTGATACTATTCACTCTTCTTGAATTGATCATGTATGTTTCAAGCCCTACAAGCAGCGTCAACGACATATTCTCTTTGCACGTGAATCAAAAAGGCTATCAAACGGGTACTCTTGATCTATATTTCATGCATCCAAATGAAAATCCAGCATTAGTTCTTGTTTCTCTTATTCTTTTAAGCAATATTTACCATTCTTGGTCGTTTTCCATGACTATGGCACTGAGATCCAAGAATAAACTACACTTCATAAATGGCTCTTTGCCTCGACCACCAGATCGTGATCATAATTTAGTTGCTCGGGGAAGATGTAACACCATGATCATTTCATGGATCAACAGTTCTATTGAATCAGAAATTGCACAAAGCATCTTGTGGATGGATAATGTTGTTGAAATATGGATCAAATTAAAGGATCAATTTTTATCAAGGAGACATTTTTTGAATTTATGATATCCAAGAAGAAATTTTCACATTGAAACAAGGTGATTCATATATCTCTTCTTATTACACAAAAATCAAGAAGTTATGGCAAGAATTGGACAATTTCCGTCCAATTCCTTATTATTCTTATGATCCCACTTGCCTTGTTGTCACCAAAATTCATGCTTACAGAGATGGCGATTAAGTCATTCGATTTTTGAAAGGCTTGAATGATCAATACTCAGTAGTGCGATCTCAATTCATGCTAATGGATCCACTCCTAAATATATGCAAAGTTTATTCCTTAATTGTCCAGTAAGAAACACAATTCCAATCAAAGCAAGAATTTTCAGTTCAAGTCTAACTCCAATTCTTGAGGTATATTTGCCACAAGAGGTGGCAGAGGTTGAGGCAATCGGGTATGCAATCATTGTGGCATGACCAATCATACAGTTGACTATTTTAAAATAAAAAAGCATGGATATCCTCCTCATTGGAAGTAAGATGGCATGGCTGGAAATAAGTCGAGTCGATTCAAACTCGCCTCAGCTCGGCTCAACTGTTAAGAGTTGGTTCAACTCAAATCTTGTTCAAGTTCAACACAAACTTTTTTTAAGCTCAAACCTGACTCGTTATAAGTTCATAAACAACTCGATTTGACTCGTTAGGTTGATCTTGTTAGGTTCAACTCGCTTGCTTCATGGACTTAAAATCTATTTATTAAAGTAATTTTTTTATATAATTTACATTTTAAATTAATACTATTTTAAAAATAAAATATTAAAACAAAATAAAAGTTATCTGATTGGAATTTAACTTTGTCCCAAAAATCTACTAACTCAAAAATTACATAATTTATATGATGTTGATTTTATTTGTATAATTATTTTTATAAATATTTTGCTCACTTGAGAATATAAATTATCAATTAAAACTGTTAGATTAAAAGAAAATATAGGGCTAAGATTTAGAGTAAATCTTTAAACCTACTCTTAAAGACAATATAATCATTTTCATATATAATCGAGTTGACACATGAACCTAACGAGTCGAACCATATATAGTTCAAGTTTATCTCATTTAGTTAACAAACTTGGTTTTTCGCTCATATTCAGCTCATTAGGTTTATGAACCTTGTTAAAATATTTAATTATCGAACTGAGTTCTGAACTATTTTCGAGTTGGTTTGGTTCATTGTCAGCCCTACAAGATGGTGCAATTAACCAGTATGCCATTATGCTAGGTAAGTCCGAGGAAAATTCAGGGGAAACCACTAAAGAAATTGCACAAGATTATAATGTTTTAGATTTTACACCAAAGCAACACAATTTTGTTGGCACTACTTCAAGGATCGTCTCACTCGCAGTCTCATAGTATCAACCATTTGACCTCTCAACATAATCTCAATTCAGGTATTATATACATAGTTCATAACTCATTCACCTGAAACTTTTATATTAGACACTGGTGCAACCGATCATGTGTGTTACATACGAAAATATTTTCAATACATTAAAAGAATTAAGCCTATCACCATCAAATTATCAAATGCTAGTATTGTTGTAACACCCCAAAATAATTAGATTATTTATTTAATTATTTAATTGAATTATGATGAATATTTTTAATGTAATTGTGAGTATATGTGGTGTTTTGATGAATATGATGTGTGATGTTATATGCAGCATAATGGAAATTAAGTAATATTGGGTGTTTTAATAATTTTAGATAATTAGAGAAACTATTTAGAAATATTTTAATTAGTGAAATAAAGATAATATAAGGTGTATAAATAATAAGGGCAAGGTAGTAATTGGTGAAGTGATTAGTGAGAGTAATATGGGAAGACCATAGAAAGGGTCCAAGGGTTAAACAAGGAATATAATGAAAAGTGTGTCAGTGTGTACGGTCGTGAAAAGAGTTAGAAAAGCGCAGCAGAGCTAGGGCAAGAAGAGAACAAAGGGATTTTTGGTAGAACACAAAGAAGAAGATCAAAGTTATAATCTAATTTAAGGGGGTTATTGTTGTACCCCAAAATTTTCCCTCCCATATTTCTCAAGACATTTCAAGAAGAATCTCCAAGTGGCTCAAGTTAGCTCAAGAGTTGGACAGTCAAATCACCTCCTAAGGCAGTTAATTCA